CACACACACACACACACACACACCGAAAATAGGCATCGCGCACAGTGCGCACCTTGCACTGGTAGCGCGTCCCCATGCGCTGCGCGCACGGCGCACCTCGTGCGCGTGCGCGCGCACATGCGCGCGCATGCCGCACGGCGCAGCGCACCGCACTAATGCGCCGCAAGTATGCAATGTACATTTCAACTTTTAAGTTTTTGACTTCAAGTTTTTTTTTTTTTCTTCTTTTTTTTTTTTTTTAACAACTCATTCAATTTCAATACAGAATAACGCTTGAGACGAGGCAGGGGTCCTCACAATTCCACCCAGAGCATTTTAAGTTTCAAGTTTTAAGTTTTAAGTTTTGCAATCAGACTCGTCTCATTCACACTTTTCATGCACGTGAACAGCAGCACAGCAAACTGGCGACATGCGCCCACACAGTACTCAGAGATATGGCTTCCAGGTAAGAGTTCACTTCCACTGGCTATGGCGACTCAGCGCCCAACAACCCACTGTTCACACACACTGGATCACCCTGGATATCCACACGCGATACTCCAAACACTCACACAACACACACATACTTCGTCCTAAGCTACAGCTATGGCAGCGCTAGCTGCCTCTACCCTACCGCTATGGCTACACTTCATCACTCTTGCCCACTTCGACTTCGGGCCTGCTGCAGACCTCCTCGCACAAGACGCTGAGACAGCGCTTCCGCTTGGCTTCCGCAGGAATGAATGAATAGCTGTGCGCGGCCTCTTGATTTATACTTCTGTGACTCGTTGGTCTGCCCTGTTACCCTGGCCCACGGTGTACACAGTCCCAGACGGTACTTGCTTGACTGGACCGGACTGACTGGACTGGCACTGCTGACTCTGCACGGTGGACTTCCACCACTTGCCCACTTGCCTCGACCTACAGTGGGCTCACTCCGAAAGGCCACTTCTAGAAACATCTACTTGGCCTTTCGGTACTGTAGTAGCTACGACTCTGCCCTTTCAGCTAAGTAGCAGCTACGACTTTGACCCTTCGGAAAGCCTACAACTAAGACCTCTAGACTGTCTAGACTCCTACCTGACAGGTCTACAGTTCGAATCCCCTCTACCCTGTAACCTACGAAGTCCTACCTACCACTGGCGGTCCTACAGGTCGCAGGTTCAACTCTACGGGTTGACACAGGTACTGTACACAGGTAGGGTGGGGAGCTAGGGATCGAGCCCTGGGATCTGCATCAGCTACTGCAAACTGGTGAATACCGTTTCAGTTTTAAGTAAGTTTTAAGTAAGTCGTTAAGTTTTAATTTTTAACCTTAAACCTTGGCAGTACTCAGCCAAGTTATCGGCCGCAGGAAAGAATAGAGTAGAAACATTTCTAGTCGAATGAATGTGGACGCTCCTGTAGTGGCCCATACGTTTCCTAAAATTGTGGCTTGTTAACGGGCACAACTTTAGGAAGTACTGGTGGTTGAAGTTTTAACTTTAAAGTTTTAACCTTGCCACCACAGCTCAGCTACATTTATCATCTCCACTCATTAAACTGCCTAAAAATTAAAATTCTAAAATCTTAGATCTACCTTCAATCAAAACCATCGGATAAGAATTTAAGAAAGGAGAATCGCAACAAGACAAAGCCCGCCTTTCCCTGCATGCGTGCATAACTGGTCCACACCAGCAAAGTAAGAAAACATCCGGATTTTTTTGTCTTTTGCAGCCATGGATTCTACCCTTTTTTTTCCCCCCCTCAGGGAGTAGCACCGATTTCACCCAGCACAGGGCTTCATCCTCTTCACAGTGGCTGTGCACAGTGTGCCCTTTTTTTTTTCTTCTTTTTTTTTTTTTTGGCTGTGCGCAGTGTGCCTGTTGCTACCCAGCTCATAAGGTTGTGAAGAGATTACACTTTTTTCCGGGGTAATTAATTGACTGCGGTGGTACTAACTAAGGTAGCCTGGTAGTTTAATTGCAGAGTCTGCTCAGATGACTTCTTTCAGCATTCAGCTCACCGTGGCTGCAACGAATCTTTTTGCCTCGTTCTTTTCAGGTCAAAGGCCGATGCTTTAAGGGGAGAGAAGATACGATAAGAAAGAGGATGAGGTGAAAAAAAAAAAAAAAAAAGAAAGAAAGAAAGAAAGAAAGAAAGAAAGAAAGAAAGGAAGAGGATGAGGGCATACTCACACTAGGACTTTTTTACTTATCTCTGGACGGAATTGCGGCCAGATGCATACAAGTGTGGCCGAAATTATGGTCTGATGCATTATGGGAAGGGCTAGTGTGAGTATGCCCTGAGATACACAAACTCGCCGCCTTCACCCAAATAGAACGTATGGTCATTACAGCTGTGCATCTAGACTGGAAGTTGTGCCAAATGCAGCTATACTGACCATACGTTATATGCAACTTCGTAGTACTTTGTACCGGGTTTAGTAACAGATTGTACCGAATACAATGTACGGTCATTATAGCTGTATTTGACACAGCTATAATGACCGTACATTGTATTCGGGGGAAAAAGGTAGTACAATCTGTTACTAAGCCTGGTACGAAGTACTACAAACTTGCAAACTCTTTCAGCCTTCCTTTTCCCCCTCCCTGTCCTTTTCTTCCGTTTCTTTTTTTCTTTTTTCTTTTTTCCTTTGACAATCCTGCAATGCACCGCAGAGTGGCAGTCTGAGATTCCTTTTCTTTTTTTTTCAATCCCCTTTTTCTCTTTTTTGAAGTGTTTTTTCTTTTTTTGTTGTTGTTGTTGTTGTTGTTGTTGTTGAGATTCCTGCACTTTTCTGATCAGTGTTGTCTGTTTGGGGTTTGATTTGCTAAAGCTTTCCTGCATGGGCCTTTCAACTTCTTTTGGTCCCCGCACATTTCCCAGGCCCATCCATCTGGGGCCGGTACCGTACCAGTCTTTGGTAAGAAACTGGTATATGCTACGCTACGACACAATCAGCGGCCACAGATCGCAATTGGCACATCCATATTTTATTATTTTCTATTTTCCTACAACAGCATCCTTTGTCTCACTTTATCCCCAGCTGTGAGACTGCATAAATAAATGGGATGCCAACGAAACATACGCTACTGGTCGCCATGACAGTAATGTGCCCACAACAGAAAAAAAAGAGCAACAAGTTAATACCCCACTGTAACCCCAGGGCCCAGATACTTTCAAAAAAAACGGGTGAGGGTAGAGATGTCGAGAACATACATGCCTTCTCATGCCCTCAAATGTCTTAGCCCACAGGTTCTCGGACAAATGTGGCTTCCGCTCACACACGGGCTATAAGACCCTAGCATTACTGTATCCATCTGATCAGATCAGGATTGGACTCATTGATCTGTGGAGACTAACTAACAGAGTCGTATGTGTGTGCAGTGCAGTACTGCGTGTACCATTTTTTTCAGTCACTTGGGCATATACTCTAGTTTTTTACGAGATCCAATGTCTCGTCTCTCTTGCATCGACTCACTAAGTCAGGCCCTTCGGCTTCGGCCACTTCAGGTCGTGAGGTTGCCTGGGAGTCCCCGGGGAAAACTGGTCACTTGATCCAGCGAAACCCCGCCAAATAGGTAAGAGAACTCCAAGCAAGTAGATATTTAAAGTTTAAACATCATTTTTTTTTTGGCGATTAACCGGACCTTTTGCCAAAGTCAAATGTCAAACAGTCAAAGTTATACTTTTGACAAGGTGCTCTGTCGTAAGGGATCCAGTTGCTACCGAATAGAATGTTGAGTCATTATCGCTGGATCTAGAACGAAAGTTGCGCCAAATAATACACAGCTAAAATGACCAGGCGTTCTATTCGGGTAAACACAGCAGTGCGAACACTCCTTGAAGGACCCTATTTCGGCTGTCAGCACTGGGCGACCGGTCCTCCAAAATTTGTTTTATTACTGAGCCTGCTTGTAGGCGGTCATTGATTCTGGCGGACCAACACGACGCTCCTCTGTGAGGCTATATATACTCTTACCACTATAGTTTCAGAAAAATAAGGTGCAAAAAAAAAAAAAGAATGTGGACACAGAGAAAGGAAAAAGAAAGAAACAGGCCAAGACGAAACGATATGACGCGACATTCCTTTCTCCTTGCATAGCAGAAAGAAACTGAAGACGACAGACCACTCTTTTTAATATTTTATTATTTTCCCTTTGTATGGAAGCAGGTCCAAGAAGCAGAGAGACAAGACCAAACATTCCTTTTCCTTTGTCTACGACCGTCCTCGCACCGAATAGAACGCCCGGTCATTTTAGCCGTATTTTGCACAACTTTCAGTCCAGATACGGGGATAATTACCGGGCGTTCTATTCGGTGGGAAGACGGTAGGCGAAAGAAAATGAAGAAGAAGACGGAAATTGTTTTTTTCTTCAGATAGAAGCAGGTTCAAGCAGCAGAGAGACAAGACCAATCATGAGCCAATGGCAGGAAGGAAGGCGGTCCGTTTATTTAGTTCCCGTGGCAGTAGAAAATTAGGTAGCAACATACCTGGGAGTAGAGGAACGTGCCAAGAATCGCAATAGCCGAACCGACCGCGTTCAGAGGAGAAACCTTCGTGTTGAATGCAATGATCGACGTAACAATGACGACGACTCTCTTCATCGTGTTCCCAACAGAGAATGTGAGGGGAGAGATGTTGTCCAACGCCATGTACGACAGCTGATTATACAAATGGTAAAAAAGACTCTGCAAGAAAATCCACCTGGAAAAAGGAGAAGAAAAGATGGATGTTTGTCAATTCATCGGAGGCAAAATGTACGTACTACGTATCCGTGAGCTCTAAGATGAGTTGATTCAGTTGAATAGAGCCATGAATTGACCTGGGGCCGAGGAGTCGGAAGATGATATCTCAAGGTCGCCGCCCTTTTTTTTTAAAAAAAAAGAGAGCAAAGAAACGACTACACCCACACAGGCAATCTTCCCCATGGACAAAGGCCCCACTAAACTAATGGTTAACAGGTGGTGTCATTTTCGGCCAATTTTTCACCGAAACTGCTTTTTGTTTTTTTTTTTTCGATTTTTTTTGCCTGTGTTTTTTATTATGTTTGAAATTTTGAGCCTGCATTGTTTGTTCACGAAATTTTCAACGACATTGCTTGAGCCTTGTCGTGATGCGGCGTGTCGTGATGCAGCGAAAACCCCCGAAATTTGGGCCTTCCATTAACCCTCTCTCTCAAAGCCCCTGATTTCCTACCAACAATTCCAGGCATGCAGACAGATAATATATATTATATATATATATCGTCACAAACAGAACTGCCCGGTATAATAAAAATATATATATATCGTCAAATAGATATATAACATGTTCAACTTAGGCACACCACCCATGTCTTGCGTGTGTATGCGTATGTATGTGGATGAGGATGAGGAAGTCCCTGGTTTGATCGCCAAATATATATATATATATATACGATATATATATATGATTCGTAGTATTACAAATTCAGGACTCAAAGAAGCAAAAGAATTTATCGAAGCTTTACCAAAAACTGTGAAAGAAGGAATTTCCAAAGAAGAAGCAGAGAGTGTAAAAGCTCAATTAGAAGAATATATATATATATATATCGTCAAATAGGATATATATATATATATATATATATATATGACGATATATATATATATATATCGTCAAATAGAAAATATATATATATATCGTCACATTGTGAATCAGAGCGCAAAAAAGGGGAAAGAAAAACGGAAAAGGAAAAAAGGGGGAGGGGGAAGAGGTAAGGAAAGCTCCACCTGTTCATAACCTCTTAYGTACAAGGCCAGCCACGTGGATGACAGGTTGAGCACTGGCTGCCCCCATCCCCGTGTGTCACAAGGACCCACTTGCACGCAGCCAAAAGGCAAAGAGGTAAAG